ATTCTGGGGCTAAGGAGTTCAACCACATCTTGGTTATCCCTAAGAGAAAAGGGAAAAAGCCTTAATCTAACAAAGTCGTTTAGGACACCGTTATACCTAAATGTGGCAGATAGTTCTAGGAAGTTTGCTAAGTGCAGATTTGGGTCTTCAATGGGCCTCCCCCAAATTGGTTCTGTTGAACCATTTGAATCATGATAAGTCTCAATTCAAACGTATTGACTTCTACGGCAGGGTAATGGATACTCATGTGAATCTTCTCAGCAGAGGGGTTAGCAAAATCTCTAAGAGGTCTCATGGTTTAGTCGAGAAGGTGAGACAAGCCATTTCTACAGATTTTTCTGGTTCAGTGAGTTCTCTCCTACGACGTCTAAAAATCTGCTCAATTTTAGGCTCAAACAATGTTAAGTCAGTGCATGCACCCCTACACATACACTACTGAACAAGTGAAGGTGAACTCACACACTAGTGATCCTAGTCTCAAAGAAAATGACTCAAAAAGAAAAGCAATTGACTCCAAACAGCACACACACAAGAGGTGCTTCAACACATAATCACAAGCAACATGCAAAGACTCAAACGAAACGAAGAAAATTAAACAATTAATACAACATTTTTTTTTTGTTTTTTTCAGTTTTTTGTTTTCTTTTTCAGCACATGCAAAGAAGAGCATAAAACGATACAAGTGGAACAATAAATATGAAAAGAATAGGAAAGAAAAGCAACAAACACTGAAATGAAAACAGAAACAAATACCGAACTTCGATATCTAGTGGTTCAACTACAATTCTCCTATGTTTAAGAACTTCTCATTAGCGCAGCTTCCTCTATAACCACGCCAAAAACTTGACGCGCCAAAACTAACTACAAAGATATACATTTCAAGTAATAATGTGGTTAAAGAGAACCCCATATTGATCCCACAGGGAAGCTCGTTAAAAAATTATTTTGAAAAGACAAAAGTTCTAGTTTACTAACTATTCCAAACTAGTTTAGTGAATTTAGAAAGCAAGAAAAGAAATTTCTAAATCTAATAGATTTCGAAGAAACCAAACTGAAGAGAACATAGATCAAATTCTTTTAGTGGTTTTCTAATAGTAATGATGATCGTGCCTTTATGATTTAGGTGTGACACTTGACTTGATTTTCATACAAATTTCTCTTTCATGGTGGTTTATTAACCGGGGATATTGAGTTCTTCTTAAGCTTATGTCTAAGTCCCAAGAAGATTTGGAATTCCACAAAGATAACTTCCACTTATCTTTATGACATCCCTAATAAATTTCGATCCTCTATAATTATTTGCAAGGTCCAGAATAAAATATTCCTTTTTTATTCAGATCTGGATCTCGTGGTTAATCTAATCATTTCACTATGCTTCTACGGATTTTGTAGAACACGATAGATTTTCAGGTCCTAAATAACCAAATTAAGAGTAAATGAAGGGCAGAAGATTAACCAACAACTCTTAACAATTCAAAGAACATAAATGATAAGAGAAGTCTAAAATAAAAATCAAACCAAGAAAACCATCCCAATAATCAAAAAGTCACAAAAAACTGTTTAGCTACTCATGGCTCGAGAGAAAAATAAATAAAATTTCATGGAAATAAAACCTGCAAGAAATATTTTTATTGCAATAAAAAGTACTTACAACCCTTTGATCTCATTTTTTACAAGAATAGTCTCTAATTTCTCTCACAACACTCTTAGAAAATATAAACAAAAAAAATATGGAAGAATGGAAAAATTCTCCCCTAAACCCTAGCCTCTTCTACATTTCCCTCTCCAAAAGCACCCTAAATTCTCTCATTATAATGATTTTATAGAATGAATTCAAAAACCTTACCAAATTCTTCAGAATCTCGCATTAAAAATTCTCCAAAAATGAAAAGATGTGTCGGTGACCATGCTTGACCTGCGTCGTAATTACTCCGTGGGCTCGGGTTTGGCGGTGTGGTCACATCGTGTTTCGACGTGGCTATGCCAGGAAGACCCTTCACATGGTTTGCTTTAACAAATTGAGTGTGAACACGCTGCGTAGGTGGCGTGATCATGCCAATTTTAGGCGTGGCTACGCCAAGTCAGGTTTTTATAAACTTCCTCGTTTAGCTAATATTTTTATGATAGTCCTCTTGTAAACTGCAAAATTCAATTCCTATCTTCTAAAAGCATAAAATCTTGTATTTAAAGAGGAAAATAGTTGTAATTAAAGCATAAAAAATTTGAAAATTTGACGCATATCAACCCTCTCCCATAATTTTGAAGTATGACACATCAACTTCCTCTATAATTTGCAAACTCTTGTGCGTCCCCTTTATTCTTTAGGGACCAAAATACTCTTTCTACACTCCTTAGGCGTGTTTGTAGTTTTTAAAATAATATTAAAAATTTTAATAAGCCAAGAAAATTCAAAATCTTCTAAATATTTTCACTGTTCAGTTGGGATATCATCAGGTCCTACTAATTTTCCGCGCTTGGTTTTCTTTAAAGCCACCTCAACTTCTTCTTTAATAATACAATGGTAAAAATAAATCGTTTTATTATTATTAACGATATTAAGATCACTATGGTCGATCGTATTTTCAGAAACTTCATTGAAAACTTTATAAAATTTGCACACCCACTTATGTTAATCTTCTACGAAAAACACATTTTGATTTTCATCTTTAACACACTTGAATTAAATTTTTTTCTTTTCTTTTCGCTTTGTTTGGCTAGTTTATATGTATATATTTTTCATCTTTTTTAGCCTTTAATCTATCATAAAGATCACTAAATGCAAAGTTTTTAGCGTCATAAATTATTTTCTTAAACTTCGTACGAGTGATCTTATTATTTTTTCAGTTGTTTAAACTTTTACATTTAAACTAATTTTTATAAACTAACTTCTTATACTTTATCTTTCTTTTGCACTTTATTATTCCACCACCAACTATTTTATTTATAAAAATTTTCACCTCTGATTCTTCAAGTACATCTTTTGTCACTTGTTTGATAGTATTTTTTACTTTATCCCACATATAATTCACTTTTTATAAATATCCCAAATATTGAAATATTGAAATCTTGAAGTTTACTCATAAAATAATTTTATTTGTGTCATTTAGGTGCTCACATCTAATTCTATGATAATATTTTATTATATTGATCATCTTAAAATCCAGAGCTAATAATTAATGTTGAGTATTTAAATATTTACTTGAAATCACCTTAAAATCTTTACATTCTTGAGTATCTCTTTTTCTTATAAAAAAATGACCAAATTTTGTTTTATTAAATCTATTCTTATAAATAATAATATGCTCATCTCATTTCTTAAATAAAAAATAAGTAATAACAAAATCATATGCTAAAACAAAATCTAATATGATTTTATTTTCTTCTTTAATCACTCAAAAATCATAGCTACCAGGAATATTTCTGAAATTTTTACCACTCTACCAACATGTTCATTTAAATCTCTGCCAATAAATTTTTTCTTCAAGAGGTATAATTTGTATTAATTCATCTAGGTCATTCCATTAGTTTTTTTTTGAACCTATATCTAAATCTACTTGAGGAGCATAAACATTTATAACATTAAAAATCTTAGCATCAATGATGATCTTTAGAGCTATAATTATATCTCCAATTCTTTTAATATTTACAATATAATCTTTTAAACTTTTATCTATAATTGCACATACACTATTTCTAGCGCGACTCCTACCTGAATACCAATGTTTAAAACCTAAGTTATCAATCTCCTTAGTTTTTTCTCTAACTCATTTAGTTTATTGAACTCATAGAATTTTTATCTTCCTACGAACCATAATATCAACTAATTTTACTAATTTATTTATGAGAGTACCTATATTCCAAGATCTTATCTTAATATTAGTTTCATGAACTAATTTTTAAACCCCCATCCGTCCGTAATGTGGGAATTCTTGCTTATTTGACACTACATCCGAGCGGCGGTATAGCGGCTCATGCATACTTTTCACTGTATTCAGATCATACAACATGTCACTTTTAAGGTTTTTGTTTGATAAAAGTTACAACTCATTGTTTTTTAACTCAACTTTTTGAGCAATAAAACTAATTCATGTTAAACTTTGTGGCTGCTGTACTTGGCACTGTTGCCAGTTTTGTAGAGCAGAATGACTAATGCGATGTCGAAGTTGTGTTATGAGATAACTAAGATGAAGCATGAATTAACAGAAGGAAATCAAGCACAAAAAAAAAAAAAAACACCATGATTTGTTGTATGACTGCAAATGAATAAATCCTGCGTAAACGAGGAGGATTTGATTCATTAAATAAGAAGCCACAAATGATGTACAAAATAAAGACATTCATTAGTTCTTATTAAAGCTTGAGTACACCAAATCTGAACAAATATGAAACCCAATGAAATCCCAACAATGATGCTTATTTAACAAATATTTTCTCATTGCACCACAGAACCCTAATCATTAGGATAAATTGTTGTCGCCTCGAAAACCTAACCTATTTGTGAGGGAGAAGAAATTGAGGATGAGAGATCATATCTTGACTAAATTTTTCCTCCTTAGATTATATGGAAATCTAAAGTTTCTTGAATCCCAAAAAGACATGATTCAAGAGGTTTACCAATCGTTGCACTTGAAAGGACATACCAATGGCACGCAAATTGATTTAGATCACCCATGCCTCTTCACAATTTCAAAGAACTAATTTTTCATGAGTACTCAACGAGCAAGACATTCATTCCATACACAATGCTTCTTACAGCCCCTACATTGTGTTGCACCAAACACTAATCAGATTGAGTTAATTTTAATAGTATAACCTTCACCTTACATCAAACATTTTTGCCAATGATCATATTATGAACATAAGATGAACATTTTAAAAATATAAAACATTGCCATCACTCAACATTAACCATTTCAAATGTTTTTGTAATTTCTTAATGAAATTCACACAGCACTGGATAATTTTTAACACAACTTTTTTCAAATTCTGTGAAACTTCAGCTTAATGTGCATGTGGAGAGGCATGTATGAATGTCATCAGGTTCAAACTCACATTGTGCAGCAATTACAGTACCTAAATAACCCATCAAGCACCAGTCCCTCTCCCACCTCTGAACTCCACAGGCAGGCCACCCTTCAACTTGAAGCAGAACTCGAAAACTGGTACTCCGCCTTCTGCAACCTCATAAAATCCCAGAGAGACTACATTCACGCAATCACGGGCTGGCTTCACCTCGCTCTTTTTCAATGTCCGCATAACCAACTCGACAGAAATCATCAAAACTCAGAAATACAAGCTCTCTGCGAGGAGTGGCAGCTCGCCCTCAATAGGGTTCCTGACAAGGTTGCATCCGAGGGGATAAAAAGCTTCGTAAGCGTTATTCACGCTATTGTCACACAGCAAGCCGAGGAGCGCAGGCAGAAAAAGAGATCAGATTCTGCAATTAAAGAACTCGAGAAGGGATCGAAAGTGCTCAGATCATTGGAGAGCAAATATGGGCCTTGCTCATCTGAAGGTTATGGAGACAATGCTAGCAGAACGCCTGTTATGGAGAAGAAAGCGAAAGTGGATGCTTTGAAAACAAAGGCAGAGGAAGAGAAGACCAAGTATGAGAAGAATTCTGGAATCACAAGGGTGATGACACTGAACAATCTCCAGACTGGATTGCCCAATGTCTTCCAGGCAATGACTGGGTTCTCGAGCGTGTGCGCACAAGCATTTAGTGCGGTTTATAACCATCAGAGGAGCTCAAACATTTCCCTTAATTACAATAAGTTGCTAACTTAATACAAAACAGAAGGAAAATGTGTATTTCATGTTTTAAAAGTACATATTTTAGTGTAGATTGTGATTTTAAATTGTTTGGTAGAAAAGGATATTGATTGTGTTGCTTTTTTGTATTGTATTTGCTGTAGGCTTCAGAACCGTGGAAATCTTACAAACATTGTTGTAGTTGTGCAGATCTGATTTCTAGTTTTTAGGCTGATTTAGGTTTTTGTTAACTGGAGCGAACAAAGAAGTGAAGGTTTCATTTGATTATGCTTTTCTTTCTTTGTATTCAATTCTGATTGAGGATATGGGGAAGAAAAAAATAGGATTTAGAGTGAGTGGAAAACATAGAAAGAAATGATGCAATTTCTTTCTCCTGACTTCAGAAAAAAAATAGACATTAGATTATCATTTGAATTGGATATTATGATCTTACATATGTTCTGATTTTGGATTGGAAAATAAATAAAAATGATGAAACAATTGAATTGAAATTGGTTTTCACCGTTTTGTTCTGTTGATGCGTAGTGATTTTTTCCTTCTAATGAATGAGGAAGACTGGAAAACCAAACTAGCAAACATTTTGTATTATACTCTCTTTATCTCTCTAAACCAATACATTCATATTTATACTGCATGCTAATACTAAAAAGGGCCAACTACTAACAATTGTATTTCTTAACTAATATTATGTAAGAAAACTGGAAAACCAGTTGCTAGCTAATAATATTATGAGCACAACTGTTCAATAATTCAAAAAATTCACCAAGGTTCTAGTTTTGGAAAATAGCAATAATTTGAATGCTATTTATGTAATTATTCCAAAAAGTTTTAAATTCCTAAATCTAAGCTAAAAAATTAAAATCTGACTCCAACAAAATAAATTAATAAAATTGAATTTCAAAAGAATTCAACACCATGAAAACTTTTAGTTTGTTCAAAGGAAAAAAATTTCAATTGTACCATATGAAATCATAAAAAAAAAATGCTTAAGAAAGCTACTAGAGGAGTTCAAGTTTTAATTTTAAAGAGAAATCGAAGAAAACAGATTATTTCGAGGTGATTGCAACCAACTGGGGTATGATTCTCGTAAGAGGAAGACGAAGGAAGAAGAAGAGGAATTACGTAAGGGGTTGGTGTCGGTTCAATATATATTAGGTTTCTAA